GTACTGCTGAGATAATTCGCATGCCCTTTGTCTACAAGTATTCAGAATCACTTGCAAACAGGTTGGGATCCCTAGAAACAAGACGCTGGAAACACTTCTGCTGCGAGCGTATGCTAAGTGATCTGCAGCGCTGACCCCACCACCGCTAATTGCTCTGCGCTGTAATGCGCTACCACTAGGTATAAAGCTCTTCACTACTTCAAACAAATTCATGAGGAATTTAAGGGGACGCTTCGCGACCTGCCTCCTGCCTCTCCATGCTTAGAAGCAGAAAATATGCGTGGGCAAGTAAGTTGGTTGCGCTGTTTGGCGGAGGCGTCACTGGGCTTCCTGTTGAGTGCACAGCCCCCCCTCAGAGGTTTACTTCCATCTGTGCTTGCTAAATGCATTGATATTGCCCCACAATTTAAGTTTAACCGGTCGCACTCACCGTGGCATCTGTGGGTTACGGGTTTGGTTGGCTGGATCGCTGAACCGAAGTGTCCCCATTTGGCGTCTCCCGCACTTCTGACAAACCCACTTACGCTCGCCCAAATCAAAAGGGCACTTTAGAAACGGCAACAGAGTTCCGCTGTGCTACGGATGTGGCCAGGACACGGCAGTTAAAACTGTGACGGAAGAGGAGTTGTTTGCGTCTGCGGAGGAGGCAATGCCGACTGCGGTAATCGAGCCTCGGCATACTCAGGAGCAAGGACTGTCACGGGGAGGACGTTTGGCTTCCGCAACAAAACCTCTTGATCTCCAATATGGCACATACTATTTTGGAAGCCTTGATGAAGGTGCAGTTGGTACGGTTGAGACCTGCNTGATCTCCAATATGGCACATACTATTTTGGAAGCCTTGATGAAGGTGCAGTTGGTACGGTTGAGACCTGCGCAGAGTTGCCGTGGAAGTTTCCACCCACACTAGAGGCACAAAACTTGGGGAAAACGCAGCTAGCTGATAAGGAGCTTCTGATTCCAGATAGCCCACTGAAGCCAGCTAACCCTCAGCCCAATCAAAGTGCTCTACCTGCCGACCGAGAATTACTCTTTCTGCTAGACGCTTTGGTGCCCGATGGTGGCCCCGCTTCCGGGGACAATCTCAGTCAACCCAGAAACCAGTCAAGCCAGACCGGCGATGTGATCGCAAATGCCATTTCTTTCGAGAAGATTCCGTTACTGAACAGCTTGGCTCCACAAGCCGCATGCAAGGTACAGGATCATTCAGAATACGCAGGCAATCAACACGCTCAAGACAACCAACAGGGCGCCACTGCTGAGGCTCGTATCATGCAGCCTCTCAGCAAAGCTGCTACTTCAGTTCCAGCCGGATCCCCTTCACACAGTAGAGCTGACGAAGGGGTTTGCATCCCCACTACGCAGAGTCAGCAACAAATATATTCATGTCAAGTCAACTCAACCAAAGCAAGTGCCTCTACGTTCGCTCCTTCGGAGAAGACGGGTCAACAAAAAGCTAACCGTTTCTGGGCAACGCTATGTTGTAGAGGCCGCCCAGACAGAAAGCGCTGTAAGCGGAAAGAAAAAGCCGCGACGGCTGAATTTCAGTCTGATGTGTGCTCAAGTGTAGTGGCTGGCGCAGGGGCATCGCGCTCGAGGCTGGGAAAACTCCTCAGAATGTGCTTCTGTCGGCGGTCTAAGGGGTGACCTTGTCTAGTTTAGCCAGCAGCATTACTCTCAAGTCTAATATCCACTTGAGAATTCCTTATTTACGAGTTGGCTGAGGAGTCGGTTCAACGTGCACCTCAACAGCCTGAGGAGCTCGGAGAGCTTAATTAAACTCTGCACAACCCGCCTGANGGCATGCGAATTCGTCCTCTTGCCATGACAACTCCATCCTTAAGTCCAAAACAGCACGTTTGTGTAGGCTTTGGAGCAATTAATTTGTAGGTGAGAGTACAGTTTAGCCAATCGTATAAGACAAAATATACAGATATAACAAATTGAACTTCTTCGTAGTGGGTTTGAAACAAATTTATTAATAAAGCAAGCGTGCTAAAAGGCTCTGCAGGTCCAACCGCACCTGTGCAATTCTCAACCTGCCCCATGCCGCGTCTGCATCCATACGCCCTGGAAACAAGTCTGAATCGGTGCAGTGCCCGGGCCCCACGGTTCAACTTGCAGAGGGAATAGGAATGTCGAATCTCACTTAGAAGCGACAGTTTTCGTCTCAACTAGCCAGCTTATCTTGCTGCTGAACAGCACGTGGCGCCGAGCCGCATCTGGCCAGCACGCGGCAGAAAGCGGGCGCACAAGAAGCAGCTTTTTGAAGCAGGCATTCGCTCTGTTCCAACTCCCACCAGCGCTTGCAAGCTGGGCTTGCAAAGCAGTACAGGGTGCATGAATGAGTACAAGGGAGGCAGCAGTTGCAACCCTGGTTGCGGCCATATGGAATAAAAATGAAGGCGACAAAACGTCACTTCCTGCGAATGTCTTAAGCCCTTACAACAAAATTAAGCCTCGATGGCCGACACAGGGTGCGACTCATCTGTACGTCTGGAAGGTGGGCTACCAGAAGAGGACCTCAACCTCCCAGCCGGTTCACTGGTTCTTTTCTGTTCACCCGCCTGAGAATCTCTCTGCTCGGTGGAGCGGCGCGGCGAACGTGACGGAGAACGTGAATTTGGGCGCGTGTGAGATTCATGAGTATCCCTGGAATCGGCTGTGCCTACCTTGTCGCTACGTACTGAAGGGCACTGCTCCAGGTCTGCATGAGCATTCGCGCGAGACCCCTCTCGAGAGCCGGGATAATCCCGTTGGCGTCTCGACGATGATTCATGGTCAGCATGCGACGGCTCGCGTCTCGGAGATCGCGACCGATTCCTCCTTTCCGAGTAACTTCGACTCCTCCTGCGCAAGTCAAGAGAACATATGTGTTGGGAGCGAGTTGCTCTGGCGCCGCAGAGAATGTTATCGGATGTTTGAAGTGTCGAAAAGAGCGCTTTGAAAGGCAAACAATTGTCAGCGGCGTGTTAGTGAGTGCTCACCGACCAACACGCTCGTACTCCTCCTCCCCAGCAGACCCCTGAAGCAGACCCATAGAGCGCCACAACCGCTTT